CGCCATCGTCGTCGTAGTCGTCGTCGCAGTCGTAGTCGTAGTCGTAGTCGTAGTCGTAGTCGCAGTCGCAGTCGTAGTAGTAGTAGTAGTAGTAGTAGTAGTAGTAGTAGTAGTAATAGTAGTAGTCGTTGTTGTTGTGGCAGTAGTAGCTGTAGCATCAGCAGCAGCAGGTGGTAGTCCAGTAGGCACAACCTTCTCTGGACTAATCCAATCTTGTCTCTCGGGTGTGAGAAACTGCGGCAGCCAGACACCGGAAATAGCGCGAACTGGCAGTGTGCTTAGACACCAAGCAACCATCAAATCTCGAAAAGAGCTGCTCGATGCGATGCCTGTAGCGCCTCAGCTTTCTCCAGGCTTCCGGAGCTCTTTGCACATGCCCTTTGCAAAGCTTAGCCCAGACTCCGCTGATCGTCAAGAAAGCGCTGCAGAATATTCTGCTCATCCTGCTCTGCACTTTCGATGGCCCGCTGGCAGAACACAGCCTGAAAAGGCATTGCAAGCACCATTCGGAGTGATGCAGCTGCGACTGCACGACACCTCAAGCACGACGAGTTACAAATCGCAAAGAACACACTGCTCCCGTTGCATGCCGAGTGGCTGTCATAACATTGAGAACGGCGAAGTATGAAAAAGCAACAAATCCAGTAAAGAAGTAGCCCCATATCCAGTCAATCTCAATGAGGTGGTCTGCCATCTCGCCCCAGTCCAACCCTCCAGTTACGCTCCGGAAAAGTGTGTGCATCGACAGGTGCCTTAGAGTCCCAGAGTCAAACAACCATTCAACTCAACTAGAGTAACTAGACAACATAAACCGGAATCCGTCCAGTGGGCAGCTCCAAGCGGCAGTGATCCAAAGTAGGTCAGCAGCTCCGTCGTTCCACCTTCCGTCAAACCCACCTCTTTGACATGTCCAATGACCGTGTCGGTGAAGAGGATGGCGAACCTTCCGGGCAGCGGCTTTCATGTCTCGGCATGGATTCGGCCGGAGGTTTACCGAAATCTCTGCCTGAGTTTACCAACCAAACAGACATCCTCTCGTTTGTCAGAGGCTGCCCTCAGCTCTGCAGGGTGCTTTGCTTGCTGCTGGGTCACACGTACATCACCATCAGAAGTAGCACTAAGCTCCAAAGCAAGGATTTCAGCGTGGACATGATCGATGTCACGAGCGACGTCAGCGCCGCGATGAACCTGAAGCGTTGGTGGCCACTGCACTGTTTGACGTTGCCAAAACTGACCCCTCAACCACCCGGCTCAACTGCCACGCCGCAAGCGTAATGCCCGAGTCCCCGAGTGTGAGCCGGGAAACTTCACGACTTTGACGACCCGCATAACCCGCAAAACGCGGATGACACGGATGATCCGCAGCAGTCGGGTCTGTGTAGGGGCGGCCGACTCGTCAAATTCGAAGGCCAGGATCAGATCAAAGACGAGTTCAAAGATAGATGTACCGACAATGACCAAATCCAGGTAATTCCAGAACAATGCTGATCTGTCTGCAGAAAAACAGAAAAAACTCTTGCCTTGCACACAGACTTTCAGGACTAGCTCCACAGCAAAGAGGGTCGCATAGATGTAGTCCACAACTTTGAATCCAGGTGGAAGCTCTGACGAGAGATCCCTGCACACTGCAAGCCGATGTTGGCAGGACATGATTGCATGAACTTGTGGGCACTACGTAGAAAGCAGCGGCTTGGCCGCATGTCAAGGCTTTGCAGCCTGGTTCAGCTCAGAGTACATATGACATGCAAACAGGCCACTGAGCAGCGGCTTCCAACGAAATGCCTGGCACATGTGAATCTCTCAAGGCACTCTGAGCAGTCTTGATCGGCTGGGTCTGCTCGAAGTAAGTAAAACAGATTGTTGGCGTTGGGCAACAAATTGTGTTATGCGTGCTCGCTTTCATTCAGCCGCACCTATGTTGAGCATGGAAGCTTGTATGTCCAGGATGATTGCGATTTGCAATCGGAGGTTGTTCTTGCGGTTCCGACTCTCTGCCAACATCTGAATGCGGACACGAGCGGACTCTGGGGCCACAGAAGGACATCCAGATGCAGATGCGGCGGAGATCCCTGGCATGCCACGTGCCTCCACGCAACACAACTCCCAACTCACGGAACAGGACGCAACCAGATGAGTGTCATCTAGACTGATTTTGAAGGGAACAATGCACCGAGGATCCAGCAAATCGGCCGGTGTGAGCTGGCCAGTTCGGGCGCTGTACACGAGAGCGAGCGAGAGAGAGAGAGAGAGAGAGAGAGAGAGAGACAGAGAGACAGAGAGAGAGAGAGAGAGGGACACAGAGAGAGAGAGAGGCGGAGCGAAAAGACTTAGAGACAAGTGGGTCGCTGCTGTGTGCTCTGAAGCATTACGGCTGCTTGGAGCGACAATATCGACTGATAAGCTTTCTGCGGCCGGGCTCAGGAAATTTTGGTTCTGATGCGCATTGGTTTCAGACTGCACTAGTGATTAGCCCGCTATGCCTCTTGCAAATCATTCCAGGCTTCGATTGCTTTCCAGAAGGGCAACCTAGCCTTTGCATGCTGGGGTCAAGCCTGCACGTGCTGGAAATCTGGGAACGAACGAATGCACTTTCAGCACATCCTTGCCAAATTCGTGAAGACCACCGGCACTCCACTCCCTCTTCCGATGAGATTAAACATGGTAAGTCCGATAGGTAGACGCGAAAGATTGCAGTGTGGCTTGCACTGGCTTCAAACTGAATCATGGTGCCCCCGGAGGACTTCTATGCTTCGCATTTAGGTGCAGTCTGCTGCGGAGGGCTGAAACGGGGTGCTGGAGGTTCAGACGTGTGTCCAACAAGCCGATGCAAGATCCCCAGCACCAAGTTCGGCTTCCCAAGGCCCTTTTGCCCACCGGTGCCTAGAAAGAAACAGTTCGTGATGATGACGGCAGCGAAGGTGCCTGCGACCACAGCAAGTTGCACTGCATAGCACCCAAATTTGTTGTACACTAACACCTCTGGAATCCAGGTCTACCCAAGTCGTTTAAACACGGCTTTAAGCAGGAGGCAGACTGAGCAGATTCAGCAGCATACCCTGGGCTTCCAAGACGACCAGGATTACCGGGACCACCAGCCACCACGAGCACGAACACAGCGACGACCAAGACGACCACCACCCTCAACATCGCTTGCCACTTGCGGGATGAGGAGTCCACACGGGCCAGCCCTAGAAGCCTTATTGACTGTGATGGCACCACAACAAAAATCGTTTCCCCCATGTACTGGCGGCACACGGACGAGCCCGAGAGGCCGCATAGTGTGGCTCTGTCAGGACTTTGCACATCTCGAGCGCTTCGCAGACGGAAGATCAAGCAGCCGCGACGGGACTGTGAAAAGAACGAGACGTCAATCGAAATGCGCAGGAGCCGCAGAACTGCCACGTGAGCATCCAAGTCCGCCTCTTTTCACTCCCCATGTAAAAAAAAAACGCACAGTCCCAGAGTGTTGCCACAGTGTTTGGGAAGCAAGTATTCCGCATGCGGAGTACTTGGCCGGGCTGGTAGCCGAGCAACCACATGAAAGCAGTCTGAGCGAGGCACCCTCGAACCACTTCGAGGAGACGAACATAACAAGCCTGGCATGGCAGGGGGAACTTCCAGAACTGTATCGTGCTGGGCCCTGCCCTCCAGACAGACTTTGCCCGGACCCTCTCCAACTCTGGAGGGCACGGTTTTTTTCGACCCCTG